TATTTCCTGACCCGACCTGACCTGAAAGCTCCCAACCCAATATTGCATTTATGGCCCGGCCTGCTTGGCCCCTGACACCGATGCTGACCGCCACCTGTAACTCACCTACTTTGCATTGACCAAATGCAGCCTAGCTTCATGGGTTGGGTGAAAGAAGGATGTAACCTGCCCGTGATCGACGCCGGGGTTGAGGTGTGTTTTTGCTTCATTCTCCAGATGCCGATGAATGCGACCCCAAAGAAAGTCTCCAAGTCTAGAAGTCTAATGTATCCCAAAACTTTCCAGTCACCATTCCAGTAAAAGATTTTGCCTCTGATCTCCCAACTGTCAACTGTCTGTCATGAGACTTTTAGACAGCTGAACTCATTCATTCTCTCTAACGAGTTAGCAAGATCAATAGTAGCGGGCTTGGCAGTGAGAAAAGGGGGGCTTAGTTAGTCTTCATGGTCCGGCGACGCAGCTCGAGATGCTGCGTCTGCAGCCAAGCCAATGCGTCCCAATAGCTAGGTTCCCAGCGCATCTCAGCATATGCAGCACTCTGCAGGATTAATTCTTGGGGTCAAAAAAGTAAGCTTATCTCACCCAGTGGGCTGAAGATGGGAGAGAAGATGTGAGCGAATGAGTCTAGATGAGGGCGGCGACTCAAGATGAGTGAGTGACCTTTTTCTTACCTTATGTAATGAGATGAAGGCAAAGTCAGCAGGAAACGGTGCGGCTGGACTGCCGTGCGCCACAGCTGAAAATAGGTCAGGCCCGATTGGGACACATTCTTCCAGTTGACCAAAACTTCCTTTCTTTCCCCTCCTCTCATGTCTTCTGATGAACATGGCCAGACCTCATTCATCCGAACAACTCAGAATCCCATGGTTCGCATGAATGTTGATTTCCATCGCTACTGCGTTTGAGAGTTACCTCGTAAACGAATCCTTCAGAGACGAACACAGCTCTCTCGTACCTGGTTGGATTGAAGTGAAAACAAACTCGAGACCGGGTCGGCATAGAAACGAACGCCAGTCAAACAAGCTAAACTTAAGCCAGCAGCGGTACCTGCATCGACAAGGCTCGCGATATGATGGAAAGGGGGGGGGGGGCATGAAGGCTCGTCCGAAATCGTGCTCGATCCTTCGCAGGGCCGCAGCAGTGGTTGAACAAGCATGAGGCACCGTGCTCTGGAAGCTTCTGTGCTGGATTTGATGGATGGGAGGCATCGATTCCCTCGTGGCGCGGTAGCACCAGGCCAACAACTCGGGCGACTGACGAGAAGGGAAGAAACACAGACTCTCAGGTGCCTCATTCTGCTCAGTGCTCAATCCCTCTCACCCAGCCAGTGGGGGATGGAGAGAGGGGTATTGAGCATATAACGATGGGCGACTTGCAGATGCTCGTATATGTGCAGAACTGACATTTTCATCCGAGCGGTCGGTTCACCGACCAACATCGGATATCGCCTCTTCAGGGACCTCGTCCCAATCAGGAGAAAGGTAAAGGTAAGGATCGAAGAACCGCAGACCGACCTGCCAGCGCATTTGCGGCGCTCAATAGCGTCAAGCGGGAAAGGAGAAGGAATGAATGGGTGAGAGCGAGACGACAACACCGAGCGGCCTTGGGAAACCAAGTCCAGCAAGCTGTTGATCTTGGCTCAGCGGACGGCGCCACGCGAGTCGCGACGCACCGCCCATCGCAGCCTAGGCAACGGCCTCTCGGGTCTGTCTGTTACTGTCGTGCCTAGCTTGTTTCTGCCATGGTCTGACGGCTTTCACGAACAACCTTCTTTCTCTTCAAGCTTGTTCTTCCTTCTCTTAGCTCTTCCAGAGTACGCAGTACAAGGAAAGGCCCCTTTTGCCCTGGCGATCTAGCTCCGTCTTTCTGTTTTGGCGCCGTGTACCAACACAAGAAGCTTAAACGCTCACCATCCAATCCCACACCGTCGTTCTTGGCATGGCGTTTCCCATTGTGTCTAGTGCCATGCGATACGAGAGGTCAACGCCCCCTGTCACCGGCGAGTCTGCGCACCGTGACACGGCCGGTGGACGCGGGGACCACGGACTTACACCTCGGGGTGGGGCGCACCGCATCTGTAGATGCTTTTTCCATATGCCACATGTATGTGAGTCTATTGTTAGAGCCGGCTTAGCGTGCATTACAGCTCCGGTGCATGGGTGGGTGTCCTTATTCCAGTCCTCTGGTTCCCTCCCCTGTGCCGTCAGACCGACCGCCTTTTCGGCGAATGATTATCGAGGAATATCTGCTGATGCCGGTGGCGGACGGTGCGGTGGTGATCACTGATGGGCCGCCCGAGGCCCAAGGCTAGGCCTAAGAAAGGCTAGGCATCGCGTTTCTTGTTCCTTCGTTGTCCCGTCTTCAAGTCCGGGGTGGCATTGTTCCCTCGATCCTCCTCCCAAAGGGCTGAGTATCACACGCCACAGGGCCAAGCTGGCACAGCAGCGCAGGCGTCTGGAGAGTTGACAACAGGTACCCGGGATCCGAGGCATCGAGCTACTCGTGTCGTGAGATCTGACTAGAGGTTGTCGGTATCTGTTTAGACTCTCACACCAGAGGGCTTGTCCCGAAGGAGCCATGCACGCTAAGAAGGCGAGCCCTCTTTTGGAGAGAGTAAACGTCCGGGAGCCTCATGGAAGAAAGCTGGACAAGCCTAGTTCTAGCAGGCCATGCTGTGATGGATGGCTCCTTGCCAAGAAACGAACGAAGATGATATAAGGCCATGATGTCCGGCTTCCATCTCCAGCATCATCTCCTCTTCATCAAGTCATTTCCTCTCTATCCCTTTCCCTTCTTTCCAACGACCGTTAGTGTCATTGTCATTCGCTATTTCCAATTCAATTCCATTCTCTAATTCAGCACATTCGCTTCCGTCGATATCCAAGAAACTATCATCAACATCATCATCATGCATCTCACATCCGTCCTCGCCACCTCCCTAGCCCTAGTGTCTCTCCCAGGGACCATGGGCTACCCAGGCATGGGCGAGCAAATGGCCGAAATCATGGCCCGCAAAAGCGACGCCGGCGACTCCAACGAGCTCCTCGGTGACCTCGTCACCCTCAAAGACAAGGACCTCACCCCCGTCGGCAAGGACATCAAGAGGATGCTTCAGGGCAAAGGCGACCCAGAGTCCAACGACAGATACAGCAAGGTCCCCGACCTGACTTCGGACAAGTGCAAAAAGGACACCTGCTGCGTCTGGCGCTACGTAGCCGACGACATGTACCAGTTCATGGCCGGCAAATCGGGCCGCTGCACGGGTCTGGCCCGCGCCGCCGTCCGCCTCGGCTTCCACGACGCCGGGACGTGGTCCAAGGCTACGGCGTCACAGGGTGGGGGTGCTGATGGCAGTATTCTCCTTGCCCCTGGAGAGATTGACCGCTTCGAGAACCGCGGTCTGCAGGATGTTGCTGTCAAGTTCAAGGAGTTATACGGCAAGTATAAGGGCATGGGCTGGGCCATTGGCATGGGCGACTTCATCCAGGTACGTTCCCAGACACTGATCAACACCATACTTCCTTACTTTGAAGCAGATCATTGCTAACCAAGCATACAAATAGATGGGTGCAAATGTCGCAACAGTAGTCTGCCCTCTCGGCCCGCGCATCAAGTCCTACGTCGGCCGCAAGGACAGCGCCAACGGCTCCCCCGACGGCCTCCTCCCGAGCCCCTTCCAGCCGGCCGACCAGCTCATCCAGCTCTTCCGCGACAAGACCATCGGCCCGCACGGTCTCGTCGCCCTGCTCGGCGCGCACACCACCAGTCAGCAGAACTTTGTCAACACCACCCGCGCTGGTGACCCCCAGGACAGCACACCCGGCGTCTGGGACGTGCTCTACTACAAGGAGACGCTCAGCTCCAACTCGCCGCCTCGCGTGTTCAAGTTCCCCAGTGACATTGCCATCTCCCAGCACCCCGAGACGGCCAAGGAGTTCAAGGAGTTTGCTGGCCCTGGCGGACAGAACCACTGGAACGAGGTATGATGATCTCCCTCTGTGACTTGTGCGCTGGAAGTAAGGTGTTAACATGGCTTGCCTGATAGGACTACGCTCGGGAATACATCCGCCTCTCTCTTCTGGGAGTCAACAATATCAACCAGCTCACCGAGTGCACCAAGGTCTTGCCCCCTGCTGTGAAAGGCTTCCGCGCCGTCGATCAGTACAAGCTCGACAAGTGGCTCAACAGCGTCGGCAACAAGGGTTCTGCTAAGAAGGTTGCCGAGGATATCGAGAAGGGCGAGCCCGCTTCCGTTGAGGTTCCTCCTGTCAACAACCGTAACTAAATCTTTGTGGCTTGTCTTTAAAGTAATGGCGTTGGTATAGATCTGGCTTGGAAGATTAATGAGGGCGTTGCATATTACCAGGTTCGGAGTTACGGTACCAGGTCCTTGTTGACCATTCGTATAAATTAAGCGTCTAATGACCTCATATGTCATATAATACTTCAAACTCGATAGTAACTACGATACAGTCTTTTTCATACGATGTGGATATGTTTGATAGCAAAACTACATTGTCGAAAATGTGCATCGGCCACTGACTCGGATCACGGCATGCCTGGGAAGCTTATTCCTTGAGCGACTCGTGGCAAAGCAGTGACCACGGTGTATATATTTGCCGGCTGGATGAGGCGTCAGATAGAATCAAGCTTTTGGAAAGACAAATGAGTAAGGAGAATCTGAATTATTGTCCAGAAAGTTGTGGTCCTGGATGTTGAAAATTCTCTTCTCAGCTACGTGTCGACAGGCCCTGGTGGTTCTTCGGACCTGACAGTGTTCGGACCGAGAACAAGCTGGACCCTTGAGTGTACTGTGTGACATCGACGTTATTTTAAACTTCAGCGCTGTCCTCAAGTGACCTCTCGTCCCGCCTAATTAGCCTTTGACTGAACAACATCTTCCTTAGACCTCAACGTCGCATAGGATACAATTCCCATAGTACATCAATCCTAGAGATCGTCACACCCAGCCCAATTGTTCTTCTACCACCATCGAAAAAATGGATTATCGCCTGGTCCTCTTTCTCTACCGCAAAAAGGATATTACACACGCTGAGTTCAGAGATCACTACGAGTACATACACATACCCCTCACCCGAGAACTCACCGGCTCCCGTTTCCCCTCCCTGCACTCGAGACGGTACATTGAACGATCGCCAAAGGGCGAGCCAACTGTCCTCATCGGGAAAAGCACCGGAGAGGAGCCTGACGCAGTGGTAGAAATTGGGTTCAAGAACGAGGAGGCGGCGCAAGCGTTTTTCGATGTGACCAACTCTGGGGAGGTCGAGGAGAGGTTACGGAAGGATAATGCGCAATTTCTGGACTGGGAAAGGCTGAAGATTATGAGGATCGGGGAAGTTTTTGAGACGCGTAGGGAGGACTAAGGCGAATAAAGTCTATCCATGTGAGGACTTTGTACCTTTTATGAGGTCACAAATCATAAATGGATGATGTCGGCAATTTGTTCGGCCGCTTATGTCGACGCAGCTACTGGATCCTCCGCAACAGCTCCATTAATCCTATTCTTGTTGCCTCTTTTTTTTCTAAAAAGGTTTTAGTTCCGAGACTGGGGGAACAGTCTTGACTTGATTACTTCTGCTGAATGTCTCTGCAATACGATGGATTAAGTGTACAAAAATACGCGTATTTCGTTAAGCCTCACCATAGCCTAGTGCCGAGTTCTACACATAACGCGGGCACGTGGGTAATTTTCTATATATGAAGACATTCCGAAGCTCATTCTATCGATATTCGATATCAGGAAATATTTCTTTCTCTCTATGTGTTTCGGACGTTGGCAATGGTTCGTGAAGTGCTCTTCTAGAAATACGCGTAAATTCGCAGGCTTGGCGTGGGGCGTTCTTGGATCCTGAAGGATTGCGTCTAGACCCTGTAATACTACAGGCTTCAAGAAAAGCTAACTTAGCATCATGATCGTAGAAAGAGCCTACGATGAGTAAACTACACGTTAGTCCGCAGACTTGATGACGCACGTAAGCTTTAATAGTCTTCAATTCTCTTGATCTGCACAAAGCCTCAAGCCTCTGTAGCCTAAATACACGTGGCAGTAAGAGCTAGTTGAGAGCTAGTAACAAAATTACGCGTAAAAATGCCCTTCTACACATAACTTGAATATGATGCTTGTCGAGATATTTCGAAAGCATCAAAGCATATCTTTCCTCCAAGGCTACTCATAGCGCCAATATATCATCACGGCCTTTTAAGCTATTAGCTCATCAATCCAGGGCGCAGATCCCAACTTGCTAGATGGCTATGCAAGCTCACGATGATCCTCCTTCATAACATTGTAGGTGGCAATATCAATTTCGGATTGACACAAGACTAATTCAATCATCATAAATAGAAAGCTTTCTCCCGTAAGTTGGGACAAGAAAGCCTTCATGCAATTTACAGTAAACTTCACTCCACCTTTATCGAACCTCTTATACCAGAAGCTCTCGAACTCATCATGATGCTTTCTCACTTATCCCTACCGTCAGCGGGCATTACGACTGCCACACTGCTACTGCTGTTTAGCGGTGCGCAAGGGCAACAAATGATGGCGAATAACGGCACCCAAGGCCCCTCTGGCTTCCCTGCAGTCCGCAACCCTTCCCCAAGTAAAGCATTCCGATCATCCTCGACTAATCTGTGTTTAGTGTGACGCCCTCGTGGCCGCCAACTTATCCCACGTCATTCACTTTCCGTCTTCTCCCCTCTACCAAACCCTCGTTCAGAACGGCTCTTACGCTATCTCCACCCGAAAACAACCTTGGTGTTTCGTTCTTCCGAGCACAGCCGCTGAGGTCTCCAAAACTCTTACCGCTCTTCAATCCGCCGGTGATGGTGCCGGAGACTGGCATGTGGCCATCCGCAGCGGCGGACACGGGGGTGATAATCAGAACAACATTGTCGACGGTGTGACCATCGACTTGACCCACCTCAACACCACCACGTACGACCCAGATACCAACGTCGCACACGTCGGGACCGGGGCGCGATGGGGTGCTGTGTACGCCGCGTTAGAAAAGGACGGAGTCTTGGTGACGGGCGGAAGAGAATCTGTCGTAGGCGTGGGTGGACTTCTTCTCGGCGGTGGCATCTCGTGGTACACGGCGCGTACGGGCTTCGCATGTGATAGTGTCGTCAACTACGAGGTGGTCCTAGCGAGCGGGGAGATCGTCAATGCCAACGCGTCGGCTAATTCGGACCTATGGCGGGCTCTGAAGGGAGGCAGCAGCAACTTCGGTATAGTCACTCGCTTCGATCTCGCAGCGTTTCCGGCTGAGAACTTGCACATGGAGACGAAGACCTTTAGCCGAGAGCACGCCGGTGAGCTCGTGGATGCAGTTGCTCGTTTCGCCGATTTGGACCGGTCGTTCCAGGACAATGCGGTGCTCCTTGTCGTCACTTACGATCCAGAGACCGAAGCCAGCATTTGGAGGGCGACTAAGGTCAACACCATGAACAAGGCCAACAGTAAAGCATTCGACGCCTTCGACCGCATCCCGACGTCAGCACCGACTATGGAGAAGTCGGTGACGCTTGTCGAGGCTACTAACAGTACCGCGCTGTCCGGCAAGAATCGGTGAGTTGAATGATCAGGATACGTCTAGTCACATTGATACGAATTCAAGAGTTGCTGATGATTTTCCTCCTAGAAACGCTGCAGCTGGGGCTTTGACCGCAGTTAACGATCCAAGAGTCCTGCGGTACTGCATCGAACAGCATGAGGGCCTCGTCGCAGACATGAAGGCTCTCCTCGGACCAAAGAACTTTACCACGATTCTCGACTTCCAGCCAATCCCGTCATACTTTGCCGATATTGGCGTGCAGAAGGGGGGCAACATGCTCGGACTCGAGCGAGACTCGCGCAACAAGGTTCTTTTCGTCATGGGAGTGACTCTACTAGGATCAAACAGCGAAGAGCTCTCCCCGCGGGTTTATCAGCACGTTGCAGCCGCAAACCAGAGAATTGAAGACTTCTCAAAGTCAATTGGTAGCGACACTGAGCTCAGATACCTTCCCTATGCGGACTCTAGGCAAGATGCAATTGGAAGTTACGGAAAAGCCAATGTGGAGCACATCCGAAAAGTTGCGGAGGAGTATGACCCCGAGGGCTTCTTCCAGTACAGGGTTCCAGGCGGCTTCAAGATCAGCCGAGTTTGAATGGAATTCTGACATCACGTTAAGGCGCAAAGAGATAGACCGGTTCGCGTATATGATTCTTTGTTTTCTTTTGTTGCTTTTTCGATTATTACATAGATAGATTTGTGCTCTAAGATGGAACAGTTCGCTCATATAAATCAAGTGTGTGAAAAGCAGCGCACTTTGTGCTATGACCACCGACCAAAAACCCATACGTGACTGGCTCGCGAATTATTATGTATGATTCAGTCGAATCTGTAAGAGTCTGTCATTCTGGTCGGGCCAAACTCGGGAGACATTTGCATCCCGTCGTTGTACCACACCTGACCTCTCGGCCACTCCGCCTCCTGAATATTCTGGGCATGGCGTGGTATAATAGCTGGAGGGAAGCCGACCATGGAAGGCGCGTGATCTTGCGCAAGCAGGTATCCAGCCCCGTTGCCGACCTCTGCGTTGCCAGCCAAGACCGCCGGACTCCAAGGTACATTTGCTGGATGTGGGTTGCACCCGCAGGTTGAGTACTGGGGAGACGGATAGAAGTTCCAGGAGGGATTTGACCGTTGATATACGACATCTTCATTGCAGCTCGAGTAGAGAGGGTCCTGATAGAAGCCCTGTGGCTCTTCGTACTCGTACTCCGGTTGGATGGTCGGGAATGCCAATTGCTCACTGGCTTGGCTCTCGTAAAACAGCTCATTCGATTTATTGAGCTGGCGTGTCGTGTGATGCATGTAGTCAGGGGAAGATTGACGGTCCGCTATCGTTTGCGTGGGACTCGTCGTATCGTTATCAACATGCTCTGGCATTGAAATCGGACTCGTCATGGGGCTGTCGTCTTTCGAAGTGTTGGTAAGTTCCTCCAAAGACGCGTCGGATTCCTCCCCGGACGTCGAATCGTGGTAGATCTTGTGATGTTGAATCAAAGCCACCTTGCGACAGAAACTGATTCCCTGTTAGCTGGAGTCCATATGGTTGCGGAAGTCGAAGGTTATTACTCACCTCTTACGACAGGTTTCAATAGCGCATGTATACGGACGCTTGCCTAAATGCACCCGACGATGACGCGAGAAACTCGACGACTTGAGATCGTTAGAGTCAAAATCCCATTCTTGATTATGTCAAAGATTGACTCACATCTGCGAACCGTTTGTAGCATCCAGGATATTGGCACTCGTATGGCTTTTCACCAGTGTGCGTACGGAGATGTACAGTCAATGCACTTCTTTGGATGAAACTCCTCTCGCAGCCAGGTGCTGGGCATGGATACGGCCGCTCATTGGTATGGATTCGGAAATGTCTGATAAGGTCCGACTTGCGGTTGAATCCCTGTGGGAATACGTAGGTAAGTATAATACTCTTCAGAGATTGATAACCTTCTGGTCGCACTGAGGGTTCCGGGAAGCAATAGACATTACCTTCTCGCAGGTCTTCCAACTGCAGTAGAAGCGACGGAAGCGCTCCTTGTTGTTGACAAGTTCAGTGATTTCCATTTTCCTCGCGGGCAATGCCTCTGGGTTGCTGATGGTGAAGGTTGGCTGGCCAGTTAAACAGAGGGAGAGAGACACCTCTTTCGGGTTGATTGTTTCCGAGTTTCGGCTCCGACAGTTCGTCTAATAACGAACTAAGGTGAGCGGATGTTATAAGCGCGCATTGGCGAAGCCCATAACCTGGAGTTCTGTGATAGACTACACCGGTATGATGGAAGTGGAATCAAAGCGTACGTCGTTTGTTGAAGAAGTTGCGACTTGAAGATGCAGAGAGATGCGTAAACGGCAAGGTGACTTTTTAGCTTGGATTGGGGGCGTGTGTCTGTAAATGACACCGTCAAATAGAAAGATCAGGAAGGTAGCGGTCTGAAGGAGATTCGGCCTAGTAGCTGAATCGTATCCGTTGACACCCATACTTTAGAGAAGGGGCATCATCGCATCTTTTAGCGTGAAGCTTTCATTATGTAGGTGGAAAATCCTCGGTCAGGCTTGCAGGATGCCTTTCAGTGTCTAGACCAAAATAGTCGTGCCGCAGTGTAGCATCGTCGTTGGATCCTTGGGAGATGGTCCAAGCTCAGAGCGAAAACCCCCTGGACATCCAGGGCTGCTCAAGACAAAGCATTGGAGATCATTTCAGTTCTCGTCATTCCGGTGAAGGTGTGGCATGCAGCCCGACATCTGCGGGGGCTCCGTTGTTGCGAGTGGCGACGAAGCTTTCCCTTGCCCTGCGTTCAGATGTCGCCATTACGGATAGGAAACAGAGTATTACAAGTTTTCTGTGCCGTTTGATAAGGCATGGGCGTCGTGGGTCGCTGCATGGGATATCCAGAAGTTGACTGGGGATGTCTGGAAGCATGGGGTAATTTGTAGCGTACCCTACAGAAACCCATTAGAGTTTGGCCCAAGCTGGAAGCGGGGGCAGTCTGGATGTGCTTCGAGGATCTTGGCCCTTGGTTCCTAGTGATTGCATCCCTCGTGACCAATACGGACTGCACAAACCCTAGTCTAGCCGATGTGATCTACGGGCTTGGGTAGCAAGCATTTCCTCTCACAGTTTCATATTAGGGCTTAGTGTGAGAGGATGAAAAAGTGTCACAGTGTCTTCTGTCTCACAGAATCATTCGAGTTTTCGGTTCAGCACCAAAAACTAGTGAAGAGATCATCTGCAGTCCAGGACTCAGCTTTGCTTTTTCTGATCCGCCCAAAACCGCTGTTTTCCGCCAAAGGCTGCCTCTCTGCCTTCACCGTTTTGCCGACTACCTACCGCCATGCCCTTGGTATGACTTGCTGATGGGGCTGTCAAGAGAGTTTAGATGATTGACGGATCGCCATTCCTACGGGTGGCCCGGCCGGCGGATCCGCGTGTCTTGCTGCCCTAGGGGCCCAATTTCTCCCCTCTGATTTGTTCTTCCCATGGTAGTTCCATGGTAGATAACTGTTTGGTATCGACCGGTCTCGAATCTGTGCTCGTTATCAATCTTTAAACCAGACTAACTAGCTAAGACGTCTCATATCTCTTGAAAGCCGTGCCATATCCGTACTGGCGGTAAGTGGGATTCCACGGGACTTGTGGTGGTTCCCCCGGGATCGAGAGGCCGTGCCCAGAGATGTTCCGGCGACTGACGACAGTCCTTGCCCCGGATACAACTCGGAATCGGGATCGGGGGTGCGACGCGGAATGCCACGCAAGATGCGGATTTCAATTCCCTCTTCGAGAAAAGCTTGCGAACGAGGGCGGATCTCCGGGATCATCTGGGATATCTCCCGTCTTCTCCAATCAGCACTGAAACTTACAGATTTCGTTGCAGCCTGGGCTGCCGAGTGATTGAGGGTGGGATATCACTTCTCACTTTGGGGGATTTCTCGGGGGGTGCTGTTGGGTGCTGAAGATATGATAACTCTGTGGTATTATGCCAAAGCTACAGAGCTCAGGCCGGTGGGCCAAAATTCGAGATGATCCTCCACTAGGGAGCTAGCCAGGCCGTGAGACCCAGAGATGATGGCCCGGCAAGGATCTGTGGCAGCCTTCATCCCCAGCTCTTCCACTAGGCTTGTCACTCTCAAGTTTTCAGCAGACGCTAACTCCACGTTGGCGAGCGCGGGTGGGTTGAATCCCTGTCAAAGCCGGCATCAAGCAATTTCCCGGAAGGGCCCGGACGGGCCAAGGAGCATGCCTCCTCTGTGTAGGACGGCGACCATCGAGTGGTCGCCGTGTGATGCTTGGCTGCATGCCTCAACAGCATGTTGACTACTCCTTAAGTATGTGACTATTTGTTCAATCTGTCAGAAAAGGCGCAATGACGAAGAGCCTGGGCTGACATGGGGTTGGGATGGTTGAGATTTGAAGCAGGGAGATGCCTGCGAAACGGGACCATGAACGTAGATCATTCAGGCACCCCACGGGATGGGACTCGACCCGGAGGAACAGTCAACAAATGATATCCAGTATGGACCCCAGTCAAATTCTTGAAATATCGCCATTGCCGCTGCCGCTCCATCCTGCTCACCTCTCATCCGAACGCGGGAAAAACAATCGAAACACGCGGTGAAGACACAGCCACATTGGTCCCTTTTGTGTGCCTGCGCGCGCTTTGACGTATGCCATCTTTTCTTTTTCCTCTCGTGATATCCTGCCCGTTATTCGCAAGAACCCAGTTACGAAAGCTGAAGCGAAACATTGTTCTTCAAGTGGGTTAATTGACAGGCACGGCAGGTCGGCGCCCATAGCGTTCATCACCCTTTTCGGTATGCTTAGTCGACTTCAAACTTCTCCACAGGGTCTTTTTTGCCACGCGAGACCTGCCAGAGTGACAGGTCAAGAATCAGAGGCTGCGTGGCCTAACCCCCGAATGATTGGACCCCCTGCCTCATTCTCGCACAGTTCGGGCACGGAACCGAATCAGCCGCAACCACGAGGCTCAGTCCCGAACTTCGCAAGCAGGGAAACATCTGTCTTAGTTTTAGCCTGCGCCGAGATTCGGTGGCAATTGCCGAGCTCTTGATACCCCATCAAGAGCTCAGGGGTTCCATATTAATGCGCCTTCGACCTTTGACGTTGGGGATTGCCGATCGCGTAAAACTTCGTGGGTACTGGGGAGGCGATTGGTTTTGCCCTGATTTGATGGCCAAGGAGAGAACCACACTCACTTGCCGGTCCATCGCAAAATCGCTAATTTTCCTCTTTTCGTAGAGGCCTCCTGCCGAAAGACGCTTTGATACAAGACGATGATAATGCCACGGAGTGGCCGACTTAACTGCGTCATTGAGGAGACTCGGAGTATTACAAACGTCTTTGAGATCAAACTCTCAATCTCAGGCAAAACTGACCGAACTGTAAGAGCATACAAGCGAAATGGTAAAGATGTAAACAGGTGAGTGGGGCTGAGTTCCGTTTCTTAGCAGACACTGGAGGATGAGACAACTCCCTAAGCGCCGGGTACATTTGCCGCAGTCCACGTCATTGCAATTTATGTAGTTGGGTAGAACAGCTTACTTGCCTTATGCCTGAACTCTGAAGCAAAGGCGGAAGGGACTGGGTTCTCAAGGGTAATGTGAATTGAGAGTTCTCCTTGCCGTCAAGGTCTGTAATCTTGGATGGACGGGTGCCTGAACTTAATATGAACTTTTGTATGAGGGCAAGGCTACAAATACGTTGCATCCACGGCAGGTGACATTTCTTTTGGAATGAGTTGAATATTTGTGGAACTTAGCAACGTTGCACTCTGGGAATCCATTCAAAGAAGCTGATTCGGTCTCTGCGACATCAAATAACAATACTCTCTTAGTCCAAAATAAAGCCGCGGAAATTGAACACTCTCAGAACACTACAGATCCCATGTCTTCGATCATCAAAAGACGACTACGGGCGCCTCCTTTTTCAGCTCAACATCGCTCTTGATATCCTTGTCAGATGGCGACGGTAGGCACTCTTCGATGTCCTCGTCCAACTTCGTGTCATCCAGTATCTCGGGGTTGAAACACCGAGAACCCTTGGGAATAAACGTCGATGCAAACACTGTGACCATGATGACAGTGAAGTGCACTCCTGCGGTATTCACCAGCGCCTCTCGCACTGATCCTGTTCGGTTGTACACGCCATCGATGTATCTTCCGAGAAAGGTGCCGGCAATCGCATATGTGACAATGTAGAAGGAATACAAGAACGCCATAACCGCCCCGAGAGGCGAAATCCTGTTCTCTTTGTCCTCTAGCCTGGCGAGAGAAGCCTGGATAAAAGCGGCCAGAGACACGTCTCCCGCGGCCCAACCGAACGAAACTGGCAAAAATGTGGCGGCGACGATCCAGGCCTGGCCGACCTGCCCCGAAGGCGGATACCAATAGGGGATGTACCAAACAATGAGCAACATCAGGGCATCTAAGCGAAGCCACGGAATGGGCGTCTTGATCACGTTCGTGAACAGGAAGACGAACAGCGCACCCAGGAGTTCACCAAAATTAGAGCCGCCGACCATGATTTGTGACCATGCCGAGTTGCCCAGGTACCGTCGTGCCACTTGGGGTGCGATGCCATTTTCTAGATATCGGTGCCCATAAAGGGCTACACCGTATGCCGGGACCAGCCAGACGAATCTCGTCGAGGTGAACAGGATCTTGGCGCCGACCCATATGGATTCGAAGAAGAGGAGGAAGCCCTTGCCAATATTGATTAAGTAATTGCTTTTGCGGGCTTCAGCTCGCGCGAGGGCGTTGCGGTCGTGGCTGCCGTCCACGACAAAGAACCACAGAACTGCCGCGAGAGAGAAGCAGATTGGGGTGATGACGAAGGAGCGATTATTGCCGAGATTGGGAATGAGGACCAGCGCTGTGACGAAGGCCCCTGATGTACCGGCGATCTCGTAAAAAATGTGTACCAAACTGTCCATTTGACGAAGTTTCTGAACGTTCCCTCCGACGATATCTCGCGGAATAACGCGGCGGATGAGCTCAACCATGCCATACGCGATGCCCGTGACCGTGTAGATGGGTATAATGGCGTCGTTGTT